TTATTGTATACAACATTTGTAGTGATAGAAGATGATACATTCTCATTATCATTTATCAAGATTTTAAGACAACTTTTGCTTGTAACTCTTGAAATGGCTACACACAATTGTCCATTACTAACAATTGTCCATTACTAAAAACAGGAGTAGGCAAATACAATCCAACGATATCAAGTGATTGGCCTTGAGATTTATTAATTGTCATTGCGTTAGAGACAATAATTGGGAATTTTCTCCTAATCAACTTAAATGGTCACAGTGACTCAAAATGTGATATAGACATTCGAGGGATGTAAAAGATGTTATCTATGTTCTTTACAGGCATGACTAATAAATATAGACTAATAATATGCATTTGTTTTTTAAGTATTAATATGTATTTATAATAAATCATACCGACTATCCACTAACTTCAATTATATAAGATTTAAAAGATGAATATTAAAATTAACAATCTATAATCAGTATCTCATATATGCGTTCTCATCTACCCGTGAATTAAGATGATTTAACAAACTCAGTTGAATCCAAATGAATTAGTTCTAAAAATTTATTAAATCTATTTTAGATATCAACCCATTTTTCTAAACCTAAAATATATGACAACTCCCGTCAAATTTATACTTTTATATTATATGTGCTCACATCTACGTGAGTTAACGAACTTCAGTTGAATCCAAATAAATTAATTTAAAAAATTTATTAAACATATTTTATATATTAATCCATTTTTTCAAATTAAAAATGTATGACATCTCCCGTCAAATTTCAGTTTTAAAACTTTTATATTATATCATATTTACATATTTTTTTACAACCTATAATGTATAACAGTTTCCCGTTAAATTACAATTATTTTTAAAAAGAACATAAAAAATAAATAAAATTTATAGATAAAACTATTGTATATTATTTTCTATATTTATTTAATGAATGAAATTTATTTTAGATGAATTTATTTTCTAATTTGTATTTAAAAATATAACTTAATTGTCATTTAAAACAGTACATTCAATTCTTTAACTTCAATTATCTGGTATGTCATAGATACATTTATTCTACCCGTGAATTTATTTCATGTACTCAGTTGGTTAATATTAATATAATTACAATATATAATCATTTATCAAATTTGAATTTCTCATTTATAAAAATAATTTTAAATTATTCTCGTTTATAAAAATGAACGCGTGTGTCTATTTATAAAAATATATGAAACTTATACTCTTTTATAAATATAATTGTATCAATACTTGAATTTTTCCGGTTTATAAAAATATTTATAATTTATTCATGTTTATAAAAATTATTATAATTTATTTTTGGTTTGTAAAATTAATTATATTAATATGTAAACTTTTTCTCGTTTATAAGTGTCTTTAACTCGTGTGACAATTTATAAAAACATTTTAACTTATTCATGTTAAAAACAATTACATCAATATTTGAATTTTGTTCGTTTATAAAAATATTTGTAAGTTATTTAAGTTTATAAAAATAATTATAAAAATAAATATTTACCATATCATCTTAAATTTATTTATTCAACTGTGATAAATATGTGTCTCTTAGTTAATTACATTTATAAATAAATATCGTGTATTAGTGATATATATTAAATTTATTATCTTAATGTCTAACTAATTAAAATGAATTTATTATTGTCAATCAAAAATTATAATATTAAATAATAATATAATATTATTATTATATACGGGAAAAAGAATAAATTAAATCTAAGAATATCGGAAAATTTATTATAATATTAAATAATAATTTAACATTTATTATTACAATGAATCATATATAACATTTTAAAATTATGTATTTATTTCTTATGTTTTATTATATTCGATTTGTAATAAATATTTTTCAGTTTATTGCGAATTTTCAATAATTAAATATTAATGATATTATATAAAGTTAATTTCATGAAATAAATTTATTTAATAAAGTGTTATATAAATATTTAATACATTATATTATACGATTAATTTATATAAAATAATATTAACTTATTCCTGTTTATAAAATTATTGTAATTTTTTTCCGGTTTATAAGCATGTTGAATTCGTGTGTCCATTATTAAAATATATGTAATTTACTATTATTGATATAAATAATTTTATAAATAGTTTAATTTATTACATTTATAAAATTATTTGTAATTTATTCACCTTTATAAAATTAATTATAAATTATTTAATTTATTAAAATGATTGTATCAATAATTTTTTATTTTATCATAAATTTTTATGATTATCATTTATCATTAAATTTTCATGATTACCATTTAATATTTTTTTATCATGATTACAACTATAAAGTTAATTTGAAAAGATTATGATATATTTTAGTTATTTCATAAACTTAAAAAAATTATCAAATCTCAATTGATTTTGTTTTGTTTTATTAACCTTTTTACAGAAATTGAAATAATTTATTTTAGGTCAAATAAGAATCTAAATAATTACAAAATAATATTTATTCTTACATTTATAGAATGATAAATTAAATATTTAAGATAAACATTAGAGTTCTTATTTACTTTATCTTTTATATATTTATAATATACTTTTTTTTGTTAATTTTATTAACAATATATTTATAGTTAACAATACATCCTTTAAACTACGTTATTTTTTTCAAGAATATAAATGTAACCTTTCAAAAAATATACACAAATATATTTAGAAGTCGGTAGAAAATTTTATTGGTTAAATTATAATTCCATTCAAAATTTATTGATCATAAATTTTTGAAATCAAATCATGCATAAAAATAAAATGTATTAATGTGACCATTCAAAATATTTTCTATATATAATAAAAATAAATAATATTAATACCTCCATTCAAAAGATATATTTGTAAGGTTTTGATTTAATTTTTTTCATATCTTTATATATTTTAATGTATATAATATTCCTACAATATGAAACAGTATCAAACCTTTTATTGATCGTCACCATTCAAAATAATTTCCAAGATATATTGGTAAAGTATCGAATTAAATTGTACTCCAATATTTGATTAAAAAATTGTAATATTTGTTTTTAATATTGTAATATTTGTTGGGCATGATAAAAAGCCACGCCATAAACTTTTCATGGGTGAAAGCCGGTGACAACCCTGTCCATCATTGCATTGTCCATCATTGGACACAGTGAGTTTAGGAAGATCATTATTAAACCTGTTTTCACATGACAAAATCAAATCGCAATACAAAATTAAACTGTGAAACAATCCGTTATTCAATTTGTTAGATTGGTCCCCTACTGATTCAAGTGTGAAATCAATTGGTTAGATTGTTCGTCACATGCAAGCTCAAAAATCCCCTTCTGCAACTCTCAAACCTGCAACTCTCAAACCTAAAGATAAAGAAATAGTAAGACAACCCTGAAAACGAAAAGAATACAACATAAAATATGATATTCCAAACTACATTTCAGTTTCAACTTTCAATCACTCACCTTCGTCACTTACATATGTATGAATCAAATTAACGTTAAAAATTGCATTTGAAGGAAATTCTTTTATAGATCTATAACGGGTGTTGTTTGTTATTGATATTGTTGAGATTCAGAGGTCTTGGTTGCGACCACCATTCTTACGTTTGAACCAGACAAATAAATTAACATGTTAGGATGAGAATATTATATGGTTGAGATTACAACGAAACGAAATTGACAGCAACAAAGAGAAGAATGAAAAGAGATGGAGCGGCGCAGGAAGAAGATGAAATTAGGTAAGAAGATGAAATTAGGTTTTCTGATTTGTGTTTTAATAGAGTTGGGTGAATGAGTTATGTAAGAAGATGAAATTAGATTTTCTGATTTGTGTTTTAATAGAGTTGGGTGAATGAGTTATTTGTTGCATCTTGGGAAAAACGATTTCTTTGGTTGTATAGATTTACCGTTTCAAGAACTCAACATTTATGATGGTTGTTCATCTTGTGCTGCCAATTTAAATCTTGCAACAAATTAATAAATCAAATAAATAAAAAATAGTGTAAAATTATGATAGATTTGGAATTTCCAGGTACTTTATTTTTAATAGATTGATAATAGATAGATAGATAGATAATAAATAGATAAATTTTGATTTTGAATTAATTTTTAAAATTAAAATAAAGTTAAACAGACTGATAAAATCTTATAAAATAAAAGAAAATTCAACATGCAAAAATATAGGAATTGATACATCGGAACATTAAATATCAAATATATAATATTGAAGCAATGGTTAAATAAAAAAAGTATATGTGATTTTTTCAAATTACTTTTCATTTTTATATATTTATAATTTATATATTTATAATAGATTTGATTTCATCGGCACTCTTCCTCTTGCCTGTTCTCACTCACACTCCTCTCCGACCGCCACCGCTACCGCCCACTCCTCCAGCCACCGCCCTCCGCTATATCTCTTTCTATCGATACTATCCTCTCACCGCCTCTCCTTGTCTCTCTCTGTTAGGTTTGTTTAGTATTGTTGAATGCAATCGTTTTCTAATTTCTATTGTTGAAATTTCAATGTTTATTACCGTCTGTCACAATTCTCTGGTTGGTTAGGAAATCTAGAAATTTATAAATAGGTAATTGAATAATTTCCTACCTATATTGAAAATTTTGGTTTCTCTGTTCTGTTTCCCTAATTGCAAGTGATACATTATAATCTAGCTTTATGTATTGTTTAGTTACTTTTGGCCTATGCTTGTTAATTCAAACCTAATTGGATTGTTAAATTAAGCCTATGATTTTCGTCATGCTTTAAAGTGTAGTTTATGTTTGAACAATGTAAACTTTATTATAGGATTGATTTTGTCATCCAAAAAGTTAGTGGTGCAGCTTGTTATCCGTATGCCTTCTACTTTTATATAAACCTTATTATATATGAACTACTATCAGTCATCTGTTGTAAGTTATCAGCTATAAGCTATAGCTATAGGCTATCATGTAAACTAACTCTCTATATTTTTTTTCTACTTAGTGCTCAATAATGGTTGTAGATGGAACTAAAAAGCCTAAAGTTTCAGCACCAGTGGTAGCACCACCTCGCAAAATCAATGTGCAGAAGTTTGCAGAATCTCGTGCTCCCGAGCTTCAGAGCCTTCAATGTATTGTTGAAAATAGACTAAGCAATGATTATAAGTCTCAAAGGAACAAGAGAAGAAGAACAACATCGTTTAACGACCAAATTGCAAGAAAGGGACACAGAAGAAAGAGGCGAAAACTGGGAATAGTTGATAAAGACGATGGTGAATTGGTTTTGAATAAGGAATCTCTAATGCAGCTTCCTCGACGGGTTCGTCGAAGATATGAACTTAAGAGTAACCCTGAGAGTGGCCTTTGTACTTCTGGGGATGGAACCAAGAGGCTGAGAACACATGTTTGGCATGCAAAGCGATTTTCCATGACCAAATTGTGGGGTTACCACCTTCCTCTGGGTCTTCATGGAAGGTTGGTCTTTTATTTTATAAGAAAACCTAAAGAGAAACTGTTGAAAGAGTCGATGGATAAATTTGAATCTTGTTAATTTGAATCTTAGTTGCAAAGTATTTTAACTGGATTATGGCAACCTAAAGATACGACTATGTGCGTGTTTTACATTTTTTGGAAGCACTAACATGGATTTTGTGTTTATTTAGAGGGAAAGGTTCGAGGGCGTTGTTGAAAAAGCTCAAACAAGGGGTGCTGGTACACGACGCAAGCTATTACACTGCTGTTCAATTGGAGGGTCCACAGGTAGTTTATAATTAACTAGTTATTGTAGGCTCAGCCTTTGAAATAATGGTTTAGTTCTCATAGCTTTATTTAAGGTGGTTCTGTTCACAGGATTCGTTAGTTTCAGTATTAAGAATGGTACTTGTGCCCTCTCCCGTAGAAGCAACACATCCCAGAAATCACAGTGATTCTGTTCTTTCTGGTATAACCTATGGAACTGCAATGGTGAGTATTCCTTTTTCCGTTTCTTGTAGTTGAAAGAACCATGTTGTTTTGTCAAACAAAATTAATTTTTCTTTATTGACAGCTTCATCAAGTTGGAGCACCAGTTTCTCAGGCTATTGCTCCGGTAACTTATATGTGGCGACCAACTTTCCAAGAAAACATCACAGACCTAGGTGTCAGTGATGAAAAAATTATTCCTGATGTTGATTTATGTGAAAAGTCAGAAAGATTGGAGTGTAGTTGTTCTTGTAGGCACCTTTGGGTGTGGATACATGCATCTGCCTTTGAAGAAGGATATGATAATCTAAAACTTGCTTGCCAGAAAGAGGTTCACTTCTTTAGATTCTTATATGGTCACCTCAATTGTATTTTGTTTTGATTATTTTTCTTGTACCGGATGAAGATGAAAGCGAGGAGAATCGAGTGAGCTAATTACTCATGTAGGTTTATGTGACAAATACTTTCATTTTACTGCACTATTCCCTGATCACTTTGCCTATTTGACAACATATAAAGGTTCAGATAATTATAGATTCTTGCATGTCACTAGCTTGTAATTAATTACTCGTCAAATGTTGTATCATGATAAAAAAAGTTTTTGTCTGAAATTACAATAATGATTATTCTTTCTGGATGGCAGTTCATTTAAACAAAAAGAAAAATGTGAGATAATTAGTCCGATGAATCACTAAGTACGATATATTTATTTGTCCAAAGGTTTTCATTTTACTGAAAAAGAATAAGAATTGTAAACCGCATATGAACTCACATTGTATGTTTTATTCAGATGGAAAAGAGAGGCATCTCGATCACTTGTTCTTCTCTTGAGGGTAAACTTGCAAAGTTGGAACTAATGGGATCAGGGACATTTCGACTTCTTCAGAAGATATTGCATCCCGTTAAAAGGTTTGTTTTTTAAATTTGCAAAGCACTTCTGTTTTAATTTTTACTTGTTTACTGACATTAATGATCCAAAATAGCTGATGTTTGCGTGACAGTATTTCAGAAAATCAGTGGCAAGAAAACCATGTTACTCATAATACAAAATCTTCCATACTGAAAAATGAGGAACAGTTTTCTTCTCATGCAATGTTATCTCTTAATGTTAAGGATCCTCGGGATTTACTTGTGAAAAAGACTGTTGTTCGGACGGAGCCAATTTCAACTAAGGCTCTAAGTGATGTACAAGAAACTAGTTGCACAGAGCTTGCTGATTTGGGAGGAACATTAGGAAAGCACAAAGAATTGACTTCTTTATCTTGGTCAGAATTTAGAGATAGCAAGTCTGATGTTGATGATCTATGGTATGCTACCACCAGAGGCTTGAAGCCTCCAGTGGAAGACAGTGTTCTTTCTATGGAGAAGCACCGTGAACGCAGGGCTAAATTCTGCCTTGATGACAAAAATGTTGGGGAAGCGAACTCTTACGAAGGGCCTTGCTCAAGATCTTGCCCTATTCTTCTTTTAAAAAATGATATGAAGGAGTTGACCATGGGGTAAATTATCCTTCAATATATTTTTCCTTTTTTTTTTTTTTGGAAATTATCAATGTTGTTTATGAACACATATCAAGTACTATTTTTTTTTTTTCCATTTGAAAGCAAAGGATAGATATTTGTGATCACTTGGTTAGGACACGTTAGAAAAGAAAAAAGAGATAAATCGGTCATAAGTTTAACGGGCTACAAAGATCTATTGATCAAACATGCTCCTTGCATTGCATTGCCTGAATATTAATGTTAAAACCTTTCATATCTGTACTATTTAACTATATAATGAATGCTTTTGTAATTATGTTCTAGATGGTCTATTATACTTCCCTTAAGTTGGGTTAAAGCCTTCTGGATTCCACTTGTCACTAATGGGGCACATGCAATGGGTTTGCGAGAAAAGCAGTGGATTGCATCTGATGTAAGTATTTGCACTGCATACAACACTAAAATATACATTTTGTTTCTTCTGTTTTTTTTTTTTGGTATTAAGTATAGAATTTTACTTGAAAACTTTTTTCTTTATCCAGTCGGGGATACCATTTTTCCCTCAAGATTTCCCAGATTGTAAGGCATACTCATGCTTCATGGCTGCTAAAGCTGCCGAATGTGATCAAAAGGAAGAACTTCGTTCTCCTTCTGTAAGGACTTTGAGAGTTCCCATCCTGCCTCCATGGGGTATTGTACACACTACTTTCAACAAAGAGATTAGCTCAATGGAGACTCTAGACCTTTCAGCCGGGGAAGATTCGAGCAATGCTAAGTCTTGCCTTGACAACTTTAAAATTTCAAATTTCGACTCCGAGAATTCATTTGATGGAACTGTAGCAAGAACAGGTTGTATGCTTACTACATTACTCAATGACACCAAAACTGGTCAATTGCTATTGTTTCCTTATGCAGAAGATGGAAAGGCCAGAATCTCTAAGTTTATTAAGGGAGAACTATTGCTTGATACGAGCCATAGAAATTCTGTCATTTATGACCATAAGCTATGTTTTATAAGAGTTCTTCTTCACCCATTCAAGGAAGGCTTTTTTGAAGAGGGGGCAGTTATTTGTGCGCCACGTCCTTCTGATATATCTTTATGGACTTCAAGGTAACTTAACACTGAAATTATGAATTTTTTGTTCTATTAATAATAATAAATATTTTTGTTGGCTGGAAATTAAAAATTGACCTTTATTCTTGTAAAATTTGCTGCTTAGTATTTGTCAAGTACAATGTTTTGATTGGCTACGGGATAACTAGATATAGTTGCCAGTATTTTATCTTCTTATCATAGCATTCATTTTTCTGCTGAGTTTCTGAATTAGTCAAGGATTTCAGCTAACAAAATAAAATTTGATTTTTTTCTGTTATTTCTTCCATTCATGCTATATGATATCAGGATGAAAATAAAAAATAGATTCTTCTTTTCTTGCGCTTGAAATAGATATTGAATTTAAGAGTAAATGTAAATTGTGTCGGCTTCTCTTCTAGTTTTAGAATCTACTTAAAATCCTTCATGTTTTACAGAATATACGTCCAATTTTTTAAGCTCACTTTCTCAGGGCTGTTACTTGTTAGTTGATTAGTCAATTCTTGGTCATTTTCACACATTAATTATGGTAAACTATTGATTAACAACTCTAAAGTACTATAACACAACATATTGAACATTATGGCATAGGGTAATTATAAAAAAATGAGGGGTTTGGGATTGGTTTTTGACATTGAAGAAGCAATATGGGTTGGTTCGAGTATTTTATTCTAAATTTTGAACCATCAGTGCATAGGAATGTCAAAAACTTAATACATTACATTGTATATGTATTGTGAATGTCTTGCAGTTCAGTGAAAAGTGAAGTGGGACTTAAACTGTCCGAATCTGCTATGAGATCATATTTCAAAGAGAATTCCTCCGGTAAATGGGGAATGCAGATATCAGATGATTCAATTGGTAGAGAGTCTCACCGGTGGCCTGTTGGCTTTGTCACGACAGCTTGTGTTCAAGGAAGGTTTGAAATTGAATCTTTTGTATTCCCATCATTTTCTAATAGTCTAATTATATACACCTCGTAGAGAATCTTACCATGTTCAATATCATTGCAGCAAGAGGCTTGTAGCAGAGGGATTTTGTGAGGCAGTTTTACTATCTGATTTAAGAGCAGAACAGTGGAAGGAGATGCCCCTAAAGCAGAGGAGGACGGAAATATTCGTACTTGTCAGAAACTTAAGATCTGTTGCTTATAGACTAGCTCTTGCTTCTATTGTCCTAGAATATCAGGAAAATGACATCGACTTTTTGTAAATTGATTTTATTTTGGATGGATCCCTGCAAGTTACATTGCTACAAATAGGGCTAAATTGGCAAGTATTCTTTATTAGAAAAAGGGATAAATATTTATACAATCAAAACATTTGAAATTATATAAAAAATACATTTGAAGTTATCCATACTTGTAATTACTTTTAACTCGAGCCAATTACTTTTTCTAGATCATCTTTACTATGAAAATCTCTGGATTTTCCTGACGTTTGGGCAATTTAACCTTTTGTTCGTGTGTTTTTTCCTTTTTCTCGTATTTTGTTGGAAAAAATAATAAGTGTACTATTTTTTTTATATAGTAATAATGAGAAATTCCCCGAATATCGATTTCAAGGATTGCATGTAATTATCGAGTTCAATTCACGTTCAGTTAAACAAAAATTTTAATTGGGATTTTGGTTTAGGAATTGTAACTTAGCAGAAATAAAAATAAACAGAATGTAAATTAGGGTTTTTTCACATATATGAGGAGAATGCTAGAGTAAGGTGTATAATTTGTCATGTAACAACTTTGAATCCCGGTCTCTTCAACAAGTTCATATCTTTCAATTACCTGTCCTTTAGATTATCTTCTTCTAAGTCCCCAACAAGTTCATATCCTTCAATTACATGCCCTTTAGATTATCTTCTTCTAAGTCCCCTTTATTTTACCAAGGGTTAAATTCAGTAACTATAGAGTATCCCTAGTCTTAGGTGATATCTACTATAGTCTAATTATACAAAAATCTTAACTACGGTTCAGCTGGTTGTTAACTGTAAATCAATCCTAGTTTGTCCGATCAGGAAGGTATAAAAACATTGTACAATTAAATCGAATAGAGAAGACTTTATTAAAGAACTCAGTAATTCATAATCATTATAGATTCAAATCAGAGATACTCCCTAGCATTGGGGGTTTAACTACTCATATTTTTAACAATAACCACAAGACAAAATATAGACATTACAAAGATTGTGATGAACTTTGATCTTTAATTGTTTTCGCGAATGAAAATCTTTCGCTCTCCGAAAATCTTGACTTCTCCAATCTTCTGTCGTGTAAAATATTCTTCGCTGTCAAAAAGTTCCTTCATTCCTTTTTCAAACGTGGTTAAATAGTAAACAATCCATTCGTCTCGGTCGGAAATGTCCAAAACGCCCCTCTGTGTCCAAAATCATGAAAAATCATAAAAACAATCAAAATCAGCATCGTAGCCGACATGGACCGTGTCACCTGACACGGACACCCGTCTCATTCTCTGTTCATCGTACCAACAAATCCTCTCGTCCAGACCTTCTGACACGAGACCCGTGTCGTTCTTTGCCTCTACCTCTCAAACCACATGTCGAGCATCCTCTCCTGACACCGCCCGTGTCAGGCAACACGAGTGGCCGTGTCAGGTACCCTATAACTTGGTTTTTGAGACTTTCTCCGAAATTCTGAATTATGCACTTTTCGCACTGATTTGTCTGGTTTTATTCCTGAGTCTGAAAACAACAAAATACACAACCAACACATAAAACATAGAATAAAGGACTAAAACACTTGACAAAAATAAAAAACTATAACTAAAATCAACTGTAAATAAATGTGGAAAAACTACTGATCAAACTCTCCCGAACTTAAAATATTACTTGACCTCAAGCGACCATTATAAGAACTCATAAAAATCACAGCAGTCCGGTACTCATACGTGAGATATCCGTTCAAATTGACTAAAATCAGTTCGTTAGATATTCACACGACGCGAAGAGTTTGTTTAAGAATATTTAAATCTAGAGCTTCCTCTTCAGATACCTCTCTAACTATGCTTTGTACTTAAGTCTCTTTCCGATTTTCCTCCTTTTTCATTTGGACAGTCAAATTAAGGTAATGAGAATTACGATGATCATCACATTTACAAGATTAATCAAGAATTTTTACTTAGGCACCAAATAACAATATTTACTACTTTTAATTACCGATGAAATTTTCAAACTTTATAGTTATATATTATCCTTTTGGACGACGTTTGGGGATCAACCCCCTTTGGGCTGAATAATCGGATGAAGGCTACCCAACTTAACTTGCCAGTTGCCTTTTATTGCCTTTTTATCATTTGGTGCCAAATTTATTTATCTCTCCATCAATCATACATACATGTGAATCTATGTTATGCCAGACTGTGAGGATAAATTACTACACGAGTACTTCTAAGGATTCAAGCACTATGATACAAATCTACACGTTAGACTCGTATCACTGTCATATTATTTCAAACTTCCTACCTCCCAGAAACCATTCCTTTGTCTCTATATACTATTTCTGAACTCTATGAGAAACAAGTTCTTGAACAAAACCAAAAAATTTCAGCAAAATTTGGGAAGGACTTCAACTCGTGGATGTACATAATAGTTAGCATCAAACCAATAAACAGATCGAACATAAAAGCAATAAAAAGAAAAGAAATACCCCCCCCCCCAAAAAAAAATTGAACTAAACATTGGCCCCTGTGATCGGTGGATCTGGAACTGACTGTTTTAAAGCTGGTTCGCGAAATGTCGCGGTAAGCAAGAGTCGCCACCGTCTTTTATTTTCTCCAATTGGAAAGGACAAAAGCACAGAAAAATTCCTTAAAGAGATTGCTCTCGGTTCAGGAGGTAGATTATAGAAAGGGAAGGTGTTAGCACCCTTTCTATCCATGGTTATCCATGGGCTCTTAGATACTTGCTCATTTGTGTTTTCAAAATGGTTTGTTTGCTTTTCAAGTGTGAGTGGGTTTTGAAAAAGTTTCGTTTGAAAAATTTCTAAGTAACTCTTGTATCTGTCCTCAAGAGTGTATGAAAAATTTGTTTGAAAACTTTTAGAAAGTGTAGGTGTGAAAAGTATTTTGTTTGTTTTTGAAAAGAGCAAGTATCTATGAGAATCTACCTACCCTAAGGAATTCGTCTGTGTAAATGTCCTTTAAAGTAGTGTCATCCCACCATTGAGAGGTAGGTAGCACCACCGTTGGAGGTGTTCGGGTCAATTCGAGGTTCGGGACATGGTGATCACCGGAGTAATAGGAAGACACCTTAGAAGCTACCCTCATGCCAGGTTCCCGGATCATGAGGACTTACTAAGACATCCTCTACTCGACGATCACCTTTCGAGGGGCAAGGCAACAGTGAAGCGTACCCTAGGGGTGGTGTGTGAATTGCGTGTCATTTTCAGTTTATTGTTTGTCTTGTCATGCATTGGTGATCTACGTTTTGATTTTATTTTTGGGCATTCATTCTTTCATGTTATTGTTTAACAGTTAAAGGTGCAGGAATTTAAAGTGCGGAAAAGATAAAGGTCCTACGCTATTACAATGGCGCGGGTCTACAACGCCAAATTAGTCCAGACCCGATTTAAAATAAAGTGCAGAAAATAAATGTCTAATAGCTATTACAGGGCTTTGGAACAAGTACATTATATTCACAAAAGAAATAAATAAAACGCGCGAACAAAAACGTAATCGAAGGCGAGGGCATTGAACCCTTTAAAGGAAATAAAATTAATAGAATAATTAAATTAAATAAAAAAGAAAGAACTTATTTTTTATGTTTTTGTATTTATGACATTATAGAAAATTAAATTAATTAAAAGTCAAATAATTAATTCTAATTCTAATTGTTTTTTAATTTATTAAAGAAAATATTGAAGTTTTTTTAACCTAAAATTAATCCTAATTTTTATATACAAATTTAATTATGAAAATAAATAAAATAAATAATATTATTCAGGAAAGAAAAATAAAAAGGATGAAAAATTATTAATTAAACCCATTTCTACATTTTTTTTAGATTTTTGTTAAAAGTATTAAAATTAAAACCCTAATTTAAAACTAATTTTTATATACAATTTTATTTATGAAAATACTAGAAACAAAAATATTTATTATTTTTTCTCTTTTTTTCTGATTTTTAGGTATTTTGTGGTTTTATGAAAATAAATAATCAAAGAAATAAATGAAATTAATTAAAATAAAGAAAAGAAAAAATTGTAAGAAAAGAATAGAGAAAGCAAACCCTAGGGGGTTCAGTCCCACATTGGGAGGTGAAGTCCATGTGATTAGGCCCATTATGTCTTGGCCCTTCTGACTTTTGCGTTGGCATGTGAGACGGTTGACTCAAGTTTATGGTGTTTCCCAGACCTATGCCTTTGATTTGATTCCAATATGCACATGGATGGTTTGATCTGGAGGGTGTATGGTACGCCTTGATGTTGGACCTGCATATGATCATTAATTGCAAAATAATATTGAGAATAATGAAGACCTGGGGCTCGAACCCAGGTCAGGAACGTTGCCAGCCTTATGCCTTGCCAGTTGTACTGAACGCGTGCTTTGTATATCAAAGATCAAACAAATATTATAAGGACAAAAACACGCGTTAGTGCTTTTAGCGCGAAATTTTAAAAGGTCCAATCACTCCCTGCCACCTAGTTGTCTTCTTCTTCGTTCCTGAAAATATAACAACAATGGCCACGGTTTTGCAAACGTCCTTTTAGGCCACTTTCCAGAAAATAGCGAATAAGCCTAGGACGCTCATAAATTGAGCGCGATGATGGATTCCTGATCGTCCAAGCCTGCTAGTTCTAATGGTGATACTCAGAGGTTTCAATTTTTCCATATCACGAAACGCCCAATTTCAAGCTTCATGAACCCTAATCTGCATCAATGGCATAATTGCATATAGTACACGAAAACACAATTAAGATAAACGGTTAGCTTCAGAACACCTTAATTAGCATGAATCCATTAACAATATGCAATAAAAATGCCTAAATCTTGAAATACGATTATGCAAAAAAGTAAGAAAAGTGGGACTTCTGTACAGCGTTTCAAGAGGTTATCTTTGATGTTTGTGACTGGAATACGTCCTATAATGCTTGAGGAAGCTAATGAAACAAGAATTATGCCTTGAATCGCCCTAGAATGTGTTTTTCAGTTTTGAGTTTCTTGACAAATTTTCCAAGTTTGTGAATGGTTTCTGCGCAG